CTCAAAACAGCAACATCCAACAGTCTCTAATCCTTGGATATGACATGTCACTGCATGCATGCACGGAGCACCCGTAGCGCAGAGATCATCATATCATTCTGTCTTGTATTAGGCCTACTTAACAAAAACAAAACAACAAAAAAACGGTTCGTTCGAGCCGGCTCCCGCCGTTCACTTAAAAGAGCTGGCACTTTGAGCTCATCTCTTTGGTTGATGCTAACTTTACATTACATTCAATAGAAATGAATAGGGGGAAAGACGTAGTATATACACGTTCTCCTGACGAGACCTCAAATAATCTTCGTAATATCTATCAAACTATAGATCCTACACATCCACAGGACGTGGACTCTAAAAGTATACAATATACACTTAGAAATCTAATCAAAAAGCATTTTAATGGCCAAACTATCCTACAATTCAGGATTTTCCAGAGAGGGTTATTTGTGAATATACGACCCACTGGAGCATTTAGAGATCGAAAACTTTAAAACGTGATTATAGGTCGTAATAAGCGCTTGAACAATCAACCTATTTGGTCGTATGAGTTGGAGGACTTGATGCTATCTTTTGACATTTACCAGGCTGCCCTGCACACATGTGTTTCCAGACTATGGCATAATCTAATATTAACGCACTAACATTAGTCACTGGGTAGTGACAGCACATCATAGTCTGTGTATCATCATCATCGTTTCAAATATAGCCCAGCAGGAAAAAGGGCTAGTCATTAAATCAAAGTCCAGATGGCTTCTACTCTTCTGATCTCTCTTGGCATGTCAAATGGTTTGGTATAATGTAGCCAATAACTGGAACGGAGGAATCAATTTGAAATGAGTTCTATAAGGCCAGATAATTTCTTTGCCAGTTTTTCAATTCAATACATCACCAACGGTCTTACAGCCATGTTAGCGGCTGTTTTAGACTGAAGCTTATTTGGACACAGCTAGAGTATGTTTTAGCTAAAAGCTAATGGTAATGCTAACATGCTTTCAATGACAATTCTAACAATTCTCATTTTGAGTAGACATAAAGTTAAACATGCTCTCGGTCTACATTTAGCAAGTTAGCATGTTGCTAGTTAGCTGAAAACACAATTTACTTCGGCTGATGGGAATCAGTGTTGCAAGTATTTTGGTTTTTAATTAAAAGGAACATTTTTGCTTTGATCATACGGGTAGATGAAGTCTGGAGACCCCAAAAATGAAACAAAATGAAACAGAAGATCTATGTCCATATCAATTATCATGGCAATTCATCAAATAGCTCCGCACAAAACCCCAAATGTCAGCCACATTCCTTTTTACTTGATCTGTTTGGTCACATTTAGTATCCTTTGTAATCCTCTCCACAAAGCCTTACAGAACACACATTTGAAAATGACCTTTCGATTGAATGTTGCCTCTTTGGAGAACAAGCCATGTTTGATGGGCGAGTGAACCCTGTCTGACCTTGGATAGGCTGATGCATCCGGAAAACGTCGCCTCATGTGGCCTTGCCGAATCACTGTCGTTGTGATCAGCCTCACTGCTCACTCGGTGTATCACAGGACGTTTTAGGCCCCTGTGTGACGCAGGCCACATCTTTGAAGGCAAAGAGGGCAACAAACACATCTTTAGAAGTGAAGGATCTGAGGGATCCATGAGAAACAGAGAGGGAGAGAGGAGAGATGGAGAGGCTGAATATGAAAGACTACACAGGGAACATAAAACGAGTGGGAGACAGAAAGGGTGTAGAGAATAGTGCGGGATCGTGCAGAGAGAGCCTGGCATCCTTTGATCAAATTGTGAACATTTTCAGAAAGAAGCACGTGAGAAATCAACAAAATATTGCCCTTGAATTTGCACTCTTCTCTCAAAGTTAGATGCATTATCACAATGCTCTTTTCAAAGATGGATGAAATGAGTAATTTAAAAGAGGGCATAGTAATAACCTCATGTATTAATTTTGTTCTACATATGAAATAATACACTTATTCTGTTCCTTGGTAACCCTTGTATCCGTCTAAATATTGAGCTACAGTAAGCAGTCACTTGGCTTAGCTTAGTACAATAGCTGAAACAATAGGAATGAGCTAGCCTGGCATTAGATGTGTCTATTTATTTAAGTGTATTAACATAATTTGTCACTTGCACCATTGATTATTAATCATAATAAATCATTGTAATCTCGGTCTTGATGAAAATAATCATTATATCTATGATACACTTATAGTTTCTTTTCACTCTCTCCCGCAAGATTGCAAGTACGGGTCAATGAAAATACATTTTTAAAGTAATGCAAACGTTTTTATATTTGAAAAGGTGTGTGTATGTTGCAGTATAGCCTGTAAAGGAATGACATTCTAATGTAATTATTAAAAATATGGCTTTTTAACATTTAGCCCAGCAATGTTGCCATACACAGTCCAGTTGCAAATGGTATTGGTAATAGTCATCTGGGTGGAAATAATATTGTTCACAATTTTTACCCGGTTTCAAATAGTGTTGTTCACTATAGTCACCCGGATGCAAATAGCATTTTATTTTCAACATTGTCCATCAGTTCCTATTCTTTATACTGAGCCAAGTCAACAAACTTCAGTTTCATATCAGGGTGGTATCAATCTTTGTTTCTGGTTAGGGGTTTTCCAGATACGTGTCAAACTTAATAATTAAATCTTCTCAAACATATACAGTTCCACTTGTTGAATATCCGAATAAAGCTTGTGACATGACCTCAAGGCTCTTCTATATTTAAAATGACTTCTATATTTAAATATACAGTGTAGACTCACTGAGCCTCACCCAGCTATCACAGCCGTTTATGGTGTCTGCGACAGGTGTCTGTGCACAGATTATAATTACACCAGATCATCACGATGAAGAGTACCAAGTCATCATATGATCTCACACAACAGAGTCGTCTGGACTCCATTTAAGAGCAGGAGGAGTGAATCACGCATGTAGGGTCCAGGATGAGAACAGATTACAAGTGCTAGGTTGATGAACTACATTAAAGACTGAATATCTTGCCTGGCATACAATAATGTTTTTGATATTTGTAGACATTGAGGTGGTATGTGTTTTTAGATCAATTATCCATCTCATTTGTATTTTCTGACAGACTCAGCAGGCAGAAGCAGGTGGTTTGTAGTTGCAGCTGCAGAGTGACCGCCCAGCAGGTGCTCACAAACATGATTTATCCACAGGCTGTCTGTAAACACACACACACGCATATGCACACACAATATTTTTTGTGTTTCAGAAAGAGAATACTGGGTCACTTTGCTCAATGGGTCCGTCGCTCCCCCTGCAGGAAGAATTATGCAACTACTCGCCCTCATATTTCAACCAAAACTTGAAAGTGTGTATAAAAAACATGTACAAGTACGCAGAATATACAAATAGTCTCTAGACGGAGGTTAGGAGTGTAAAATAGCATCTTGCTGCTAATTCTGATCGCCAAATAAATAAATAAAAAGCTTTTCAAATACATAATTAAGATCAATACAGGATATCATTATTAAAAATGAACATTGTTTTCAAATGTTGAAATGTCTGATTCCACCAAATCACAGTACACACATTTTCAAAGCCTTGTTACAGTAAGACTGCTAAACCTGGGTTAATTAAAACACCTTTAAAAGTACACACAAGAAGGAGGATATACTCTGTCTGAGTTTATACTGTATGACTTACTAGAGCAACAAAGAGGACATATTTTATTTGTACGGAGTGAGTGAAAGCATATGCTCTCAAACCTTCAGAAACAATCCTTGAAGAATAGTGTTTCTGTTGTGCTAACAAGTAGAAGGATGGAAGAGAACAAGGAAAAGGGGAGACCACCCATTAGTTGAGTCAAATAAAACAAATAAAATGTGCTTTTTTTTTTGACACAGCTCAAACAGGAAATTAAATAAATGCCAAAGTGAAATCATGTAGAGTAGAAAGATGCAACAGCAGTGGTTTTAGTGATGAAAAAAGAGTGTAAGCCAGGTTTTAGAAATGTACACCGTAAGTTTTGCCAATGCAACAAGTGATTGGCCGGCTGAATCGCTTCTCCCTGATGAGAAAATGAAATGAAGCCTGTCAAACGGCCTATGTGAATGAACAGCAATTATATAGTCCTTTTCCTGTCTTTGCAACCCTTCAGAGCGCTTTACAACACAAGTCATCATTCACAATTAAAAAAAACAGAGGTATGGCCACCTGCTCATCAAGACATTCACACATCATTGGTCACCAGGAGCAATTTAATAAATTAGTCATACATGTCTTAGTACAAAAAAAAGCAGAAATGTTACCATCAAAATCAATTTGGGCTGCATTCCATTTAGTTTCAATAACATTGTATCTATATTATGGATGCTAGCTTACTAAACACACTCAAGCCTCATACCAGGCCACTTGTTAAGTTTATTAGTAACATGGGCCTTACCTCTTATACAGTGTAAGCGGCAAGAAATACAACCATGTTTGATCTGTAAGAAATGTGGGCAAATTCTTAGATCTTTTTGTCTTCCTTTGTGTATAAATCATAGACATATTTATAAATAATTGAGGATTAAGGCCCTTTACACACAGCAGGTGCAAATTAGACCGCCTCTTACCTTGAAGATGGATGTAGAGATGCCATAGGAGAGGAGAGCTGTCAATCAAACACACAAGCACATCTTACAGAGCTGAGAAGAGGTGTAATCAACCAATAAGTGGAAACACCTGTGTTGATTGCAGCTGTGCAAGGCCCTGTAAGGACACATGGGCCGCGGGTGGACGCTTGCTTGGTAGCACATGGTCTACGAGGGCTGGGTCCTCCGTGGACCGCGTATTCTGCGTACTCCGAAGGGTGCAGCCCCTAAATTGAGACACGGCCATGGACTCAAATTGAAAGCCATTGGCGCCAACCTGTGGTTACATCATGCATCAATACAACAATGCATTAACCAGCTTTGAAAAGTAGATAAAACACATTTTTTTTAAAACTGTTATTGTCAATAATGCAATTCCCAACAGCATTTCCTTTGTACTGATATTTAATATTTAGACATGGGGCAACAGCCATTTTTACAGCACAATTTGCATAATTTATCAATACCTCCTGTATACAATCACAAAACCATGACAGTAGATTTTTTTTTCTGTTTACTTACAAGTGAAAAACCAGACGGGTTTTACAAGCATAATCTTTGTACAGTCAGCATACATCATCGATAATCTTAATAGGTTTTTCTTCATAATTTCCTTCTCTACGACAGTTTTGTTCTATATCTTTCACTACCTCATTCTTTTTTTTTCTTTAATAATATCTGGACACAAAAATAGTATGAACCACCAACGAAACATGCAACATCCAGTGTGAGCACATTTAAATTCTCCTGCAACTGCTCGAGTTAAGATAGACTTCTGTGTAGTTAGACTCTGGTAAACCTTAAGTGTTTGGTGTTAAGGGTCGGGTAAATCTGTCCCTATAAACAGATATAATGTTGTTTCTCAGTCTATCCGCTGTACATTGATCAAGAGAAAAAAACAACTTCCTTTTACTTCTATGATTACACACCTTTTTTCAGTCTGCTAAAAGACCTATTGCTCCCCAAACCCCAGTATAAAAAAGCTTTGTATTTACAAGGTTGGAAATAGAGAGATAGCATGTGTGTGTGTGCGTCCGTAGTGTGTGTGTGTGTGTGTGTGTGTTCATCTTTTTCGAGAAATTTTAAAAGTTGATATTTTTAGACAGACAACACTTAAAAGAAGATATATGCAATTTGGCCTATGACATGCATGGACTGGTCTGGAGATGCTTTACACAAAAACACAGGTATGAAAATAAGAAAACCACACACTGACCTTAAAACATTTCAGTTATTCAAGTGCTTAAAATGAACTATTCAAAAGGGGGAGAACATGAAAAAAAGTGCATTGTTTAAATGGGTATGTTATCTTTTCTTATCTTGATTCCCGGCTGTGAAATTCAGGATGTGTGCATGTTAATGTCCGTATGTGTGTTAAGGACAACAAAGTTAGTTCTCTGAGTACCAGGCCCTCTGAACCTTGTAAACAACAATACGGTATGTATAAAAACAAATTTCCCAACTTGTCTTTTATGTACACCTGATATGAACTGTAAACAAATATAATACAACATATAAAATAGTCTCACAGTCAATAAATAAAAGATTTGTATAGAAATGATATTAAAGGATTAAGCGTTTCATGGAGGGCATGAAAACACAGTGCGAAAGAAAAATCAAGATAAAAGCTTCCTCTTTTTTCAACTACCTGCTGAGTCATGATGCAGTTACCACCTTTATTCAGAAGATGTTGCATATGACTCATATATCAACTTTTACTGCTAATTTGGACTGAAAATGCTAAATGAAGCCTACCTCTTTCCCCCCTAAATAGCACATGGTAGGACATTTACTAAGACATAATGGACTTTTAAAGACACAACATTGACAATTTGTGGAAGTGGCAATAACAAGACAACACGTATATGACAAAAACTGGGACAAAACATCAACATGCTACAACGATAGCATTGACGTATCTTAGAATGGTAATAGTGCTTTTTCGTGGATGGTTCCCGGCACATTTGTCTTTTGTTCGCTACAATATCTCCAGATATTTTCATCGCTTTACTTTACCTCTCTACTTCCCGCCCTTGTAAGGTAAATCATCTCAAATGTTTAGCAGGACGATGACATCGGTTTTACATTCTAAGCAGAAAAAAGTGCAAAATACCACAAAAGCGCGCGTTGTTAGGTTGATTGCTCCTATGAATGAAAGCAGGGCGAATATAAGACTCGTAATGTGCCTGGATCTCACAAAGAAAAAGAATAAAATCTCATATGGTAAACATCTCACATTCTAAGGGGCATCATGGGTAAATAAAAGCTCTATGTCACAATCATCAAGACTCCATTGTCTTTGATAAAGATATCTATATATCTATCTATTATGTTATAATTCATTTCCAGCTATGACACTTCACTATGTACAGAGTGAACCTTAGAGGTGATTGTTTTTTGTGCAGAACATGTGGCAATGCATACCAGATAGATAGACTCATGCGCACAATATATAGTATCCAATTATATATCCATATTAATCATCATCAAACAATATACATCATTTGATACCACTGTGTTTACACTTACTGTAGGGAGAGAAAAGATGGGGTGCAAAGTGAACAAGGAGATAATAAATTCATGCTTTCTGAGATTTATTTTTTCTCTTGGACTGGAATGCTAGGTAGTGTGTGTTATAAAATATATTATGCTTCTTTCCCAGGATAGATTCTTTTTTAAATAATTGAGAAGAAGACAAATGATAGAACTCTACACTAATATCCTAATACAAAAATAAATACGAGGTCTCCGCAGCAGAGTCTTCACTATTTCATTCCCAAAATGCTTTGTAAATCAATAAAACTCTCATAATAAAGCAATGAAGGAATGGATAAAACATCTACATAAATAAATCTGAAGTGTGTCCATTCCCTGTAGAATTACAATGTCTCTTCTGCGTGAATGAGTGTGCAAACTTGTCGTGAATAATTGTGTGTGTGTGTGTGTGTGTAGTGAATTAAAGAGTGTAATACCTGGTTGATTCCGTGCTTGACCTCTGACCTCAGCACCTGTGTTCTCCTCAGCCCTGGCTTCACTACTGTACACTGTACTTCCTGTAAACTTTAATGCATCACTACTCCCCCCAACCCTCCTGCAGGACAGAAACGATCATCAGAGGTGCCCTTATGAACAAAAGCATCTTCCAAATCTCAGAGCCCTGAACAAAATATTCCCAAGCCCAAACCACCCTTTACCCATCCAGTCGGAGTGGATCAGTGTGACAGATGTTGAACCTAAGCGTCCCCAAATGAGAGTTTTTTAGGTGGAGTTTCTGTCTATGAGTGGATTTGGGCGGTGCTGGCGAGGAGCTTGTGCCAGCTCACCACTCGCTTGCGTAGGTCCGCTTTGTCCAGCCACACGTAGGCCTCCCCAATCAGGGTCTTCTTCATAAACTTGCCCCCATTGGACACCAGGAACAGCTGGTGTTGAAAGAACAAACAAACAATATGTCAAATGATTGAGTACGTGAAGTAACCAGGTCCAACAAGAGATTGGTGAATGTTTAAAGGAATATACATTTTCTGCTAGATGTTTCCAGCCTTATGCTAAGCTAAGCTAGTAGTCTCCTGGTTCTAGGTATCTACGGAAGCCCAGAGGGGCAAAAGCGGGTCAGACCAATTTAACTGGGGGATAGTTATTGAATGAGAGGGGCATGTTAAATGCTGGACAAAGAAGACAAAGACAGAGTTCAAGATTTAAACTTTTTCAGTTCAGTATTAAGTCATAGCGCACAAAAAACGTAAAATACCATCACTGGTTTTTGTTTTAATAACAGCATTTGTGTTAATGACTGAGTTACAACTTGAGTTACTTACTTTACCATTAACATAAATGCAGTTTGGGGATAATAAATACATTATTTATGCAGAAAAACATTGTTTTTATTTAATTTCTTAATATGTGTTAGTATTTTCTTTAGTAACAGAATTTGTTTCAGTAACTTATTTTCAATTTATTTAATTACATTAATGAAAAAAAAAACATTCCTGTTATCTTAGTCCCAGGTTACAGCACAGTATTGGCTGCAACACTATCACACATTGCATTATCATAGATTTAGTCTTTTAGAGGGGGGCCACAGGGGGGTCCAAGCACAGTGTTACAGGGGCAGAACAAAATAACAATTGTGGGGACAAGAAACGGAAAAAAATAAACAAAAATGTGCAAAGATCATTTTTTTGTTACCTTTATCCATCTCTGAGAACAGTAAAATATTTTGTCACGATGATTTTTTTTTAATACAATACATTGAACCATATGTGGTGGTACATATTATCCTACCAATACACCATGTATATCTTGTAAACGGAGTAAATATAGAAATACAAATTTCACCTGGAAGAAAACATGAAATATCTTTAGTCCTACCTGGAGAATAGGGCTAAGAAACACTTAACTCACGGCATGAAAGCAAATAACTCTACTAAAATAATAAGCATTTCTTAAGCAGTTAATGTAGACCTTATTAAAACGATTTATATTCTTCCTGCTGTGTTTGTGTGTGCCTGTAATAAGGACTGGATTAGCATTACCTGTAGCGAGTGTCCGGCCGGGTTCATACAGAAGCGGAAGGTTTCGTTAAAAGATGGCTCCCGGTCATGGCGACACACTCTGGTCTTCTTCTTGATGATCCTCTTCTGAGTGGCGATGTTCACCACGTAGAGCTTCACATACAGATCTGTGGACACACAAATACACACACAACATAGTAAGTAATGTGATTTGGCCTAGGGGAAGCCCATTGGGCTGAGCAAAAGCTTTATAGTTGTACGTTTCCTTATTAAAATGATCATGTTTCATGTTTCTACATTTACAGCACAGGTATTTATTTCATGTCTTTCTGCCATTTTTGTCTATGTACAAAAAAATCCCATTCATCAAATTGTGCTTTTTCTTTTGCTTCACACATAGTTTAAAATGGGCTATGGTCATTACTATTGGAGAATCATGGCCACTTAACACATACAGCAGAAAGTCTACACAGCAGCTTTAAAAATAGTCACAGTTGCACACAGCCAACAATAAAGAATTAATGCTGTGAGTCACTGCTCCACATTTTTCTCTACTGTCAATGGACTTTTCCCTGCATATCCAATCTGTTAACCAATGCATATTAAACAAGTAGCAGGCAGCTTGGGTATTAAGATGTAAATATCACAAGAGGAGAGGTGGGCGGCTACGCTGAGGGAAGACAAGTCAGGGATTGTTGTCAACGCCAAGTCCAGTTCACATGAAATCTAAATACAGTATATTGTACCGTCTAATCTGCTGATATGACAGGAGAGCTTTGACTCAGGGTGCTGCTGATTTTCTAAACTACAGATACAGGAGTTACAGTAATAACGTTTATATTCTCCATCCTGGGTGTTAACTGGAGTATCCATCTGGGCAGGAACAGGGTAAAGGAAATGCTGGCTGAAAGACACTATTATGACACCAAAGGATCTGCAACTAAAGAAACTGGCAAGGATGTATGTGCTATGTCAGATGCCTGTCTTTTTCTACAGTGTGGGCAGTGTGGGCCTCCCGGCTGTCAAATTATGAAAATAATATGTATCTCATATAATATTCTTTGAATGCTGTGAAGAGTCTTTATAGAAGTATTGACAGAATAGGAAACAAGAAGATAAAAGATGGAGAAATCAGTCGTGCATGTTGAGATCTTGTGCATATCCAAGCTAAATGACAATAAGTGTGTGTGTTGTGTTTGCTCTTACCAGGCAGGTGGTCCGGAGACTTGAATTTGTAGGTGATATTGCGACATTGAAGAATCTCGAGGACCAGCTGCTCACCATCCGTCTTTACCTCCTTCTTCAGAGCGATCTTTATCTCCCCCATCACCTGGGACTTACCTGAAAGTACACAGTACAAATACTAGGGTCTTAAAATACTACATTTCAAGGCTCGATTTCAAGATGTCACTTCAGCAAAAGTTCAAAAATTGTTAGCATCAAAATGTACTTTAAGTACACAAAGTAAAAGTACTCATTATACAGAATGGCCCATTTCAAAATATTATAAAGTACAGTAGTATTATGAGCTAAATGTACTTTAGTACTAGTTTCGGAAGTAAAAGTACTGCAGAAGGGGTCTTTTTAAAGTATTATATTATGTATTTTTTTTTAAATATCCTGGTTTTATCACTAACATGTAAGAGGTTATTATAATAGTTTGTAGTTGTCAGTGTGGACCAAATGTAGATATTTAAAATACTGTGTGGATTAGTAGTACAGTTCTGCATTATACCATCATATCATGTGTTTTTATGTACAAAGTAACTAGTAAATCTGAGCGTCAAAATAAATGTAGTGGAGTAAAACTTTCATATTTGCCTCTGAAATGTAGTGGAGTAGAGGTATACAGTTTGATTAAATGGAAATACTCAAGTACAAATCTGTCACAAAAGTATTTAACTGCTAAAATGTACTTTCCATCAATGCTCTATTCTCACACTCCCTCTGTAAAATAAGGCACCTGGTGCGTGTGACTGCCCTCTGCTGGACGCTGAGAGAACTCTCATGATGAGTCAACTCAAACGAGGCCTTCAAACATCTCATTTATTTGTTTAACAACGATGGGGAGAAGTTATGAAGAGCTGTGCCTGGCTTCTGGTTGCCCCAAGGCAACCAGAAGCCAGGCACAGCTCTTCATAACTTCTCCCCATCGTTGTTAAACAAATAAATGAGATGTTTGAAGGCCTCGTTTGAGTTGACTCATCATGNCTATGGGACTCACACTGCACCTCAGTAGATGCTGCACACCCCGCCTCCTAGTGACATGCAGGAGGGGCGAATGTGCACCGCACACTGTGGCTGCATGTGATGTGACAGTCAAGCTGGTTTCCATGGTGAAGATAAACCGCTCTCTGAATCTCCATCTCGCTCCTCCCTCCTTCCATCTTAAACGTCGACCCCATGACCTTTGTTTCCTGGCGTTGACCTCCCTGACACCTGACCTGCCGAAAAACAAACAGGCCAACGAGGCCGCCTCTCTCTGAGGCAGCAGAGGCACAGCGTAGCAGGCGTGCTCACCATTCAGACAGCCCAGTCCGATTGGCTGCCTGCCCTGCCAGCCGTCGTCTCGGCCAATGGGAGCAGAACAGACGGCAGACACCTGACCCTCGGGAAAGCCGTGTCGGAAGAGAGGCCGCAGAGCATCGGAGGTGAGAGTTCCCCCCCAGAGTCTCCTCGCAGGGGGAGAGTGAAACATGAGATGCTACTAACGCACACCTGCAGAAAGAGAGTCTAATATATAGAGCCAGGGAGTCACACTCACCAGAGATCCATGCAGCGAGACACGCTTTCTCCACGGCCACCAACACAGTTCACTAGAACCAGGAAATGAATGTCTGTCTGATTCAATGTGCCACCCCCACGACCCCCCCCCATTGCTTCATTCCTCTGGTATGGACGACGTGTTGCGTGGCCTGACAGGAAAACGTGTCGCCATGGATTCTGTTCTGCACCACATCCCACATCATTCATACTCTATCACACTGCCTGGTCAAACATTTACTTCTTAAACATCTTGCAAATATACAGGTTTTTAAAAAAAATGTAGTACAATCTTAAACATCCTTTAAACTTTAATGATCTCTATTTATTTTTAAGCTAAACTAATGCTAACATCGAGATTATTATTAAAAGTTCATGTAAAAAACTAACATGTCAGCAGGGTCTACGTGCCTCTTGTGTGGTCTATTTGTGCATAAACATATATATGTGGTTTCTCTGGATGTATTTCTGTGTTTCATGTTAAAGCTTTAAATGTGTTGTCCATGTCTGAGAGAAAATATTACACACTTTGTTCATGTGCTTCTTAAAGCTAGCCCACATTGTTTGTGTGCTATTCATTACAATCCAGTCTTCTTTACTGTAAGTGTAAACAAAGCTCCCTGTTACAGATGATTTGAAGTATTAGGCTGATAATGATGGGTTTTAGTTGCTACGGACATGAACTGATGCTTCTTGGACCTAGTTTTTGAAGTCTTGGATCCGACAGAGGTGCAGTTTGTGTCCCTTCTCTTTGTGGTGATGGTGTGGTCGTGTCTGCACAGCTCGTTCCAGCTACAGATCCGGAGACGCCCCGGTCACAGCCGCCTCTCTGGACAGCGGCCTGAGCGGCAGCGCCTACAGCCTGCTGGACGAAGAAGGAGAGACAAACGAGGTGGACAGTGCCATCTTCCAGGTGCCTCGATTGTAAGTCACCTTACTCAACACTATTTTGTATTTAAATCTTTATTGACACATTATACATGGTATTAACATGCTGGTTACAACAACATAACAATCATGTAACAAAAGGCCAGCAAGGCAGTACAAAATACGAATAAAATAAAAGGCTAGTCTATGTCTTCATGTTATTATATTCTTGAAGATACATGTAACTATTAGCTATTGTTCCAGTCAAATGTCTTTGTTTTGAGTCTTGTATAGAGTCAATCTTTCCCACTTTCTGTTGAGTTGCGTTTCTTGCAATCTCAATTTATATGTCAGTTTTTCCATCAAAAAGATTTCTTCCACAATTCTTCCCTATTGGTTTTTGCTTGGTGGTGCTTCCTTACTCCAATCCTAGTGATAGCTTTCCCTCAACAATTATTTCACAATTATTAGCCTCACTTTTTTGGATGTGTTATTAATGTTTTTTGGATACATGCATTGTGTAGTTTTGTAAATTCCAGAACTTTGTTGCCTCTCTCTTTAGTGGAAAGATCCCCAATGGCACAGACGCGATGAAATCCTCACTTGGACTCGGTGACACCGAAGGTTAGACATTTCCTCTAACACTAATAAATGCACTTTTTTTGCATTGAAATAAGTAATTGCAGTGAAATTAAATAACTAATGAACTTATAGACGAACAATTGGTTTGTTGTTTCCGTCTTTTTTGTCTCTATTTATTTTATTAAATGTTTTTAATACAAGTTATTTAATGTTTACTGTTGGCTTTTGATTGCAAGTATTTCAATGTATATTTGCATCATTCAAATTATCCGTAGACTTGTTAACTCATTAATGTTCAGGTTATTTTCATTATCTATCCCTGGCTATTTCCTTTTCTTCTTTCTGCCTTTAAATATTGGTTCAAGTAAATTATGACTAATGCAAAAATGCAAATTTGACCTTAAAAAGCTAGAAAGAGGTTTGTTATCTGACATTCACATTTCCAACCAGTGTGAGTCCTAAGCTACAACGCACATGGATGAACACATTTTGATTATCCGCATAACTTTTTTATCTCTTTTTAATCTGCACTCTTTTTTTTGTCAATGGGACTCTCTCGCCTGGTAATAAACACACACACACAAATACACACACACAGAGTATACCCTTTCACAGTTCTCATTTCCATTCAGTTTCCAAGGCAACCAGAAGCCAGGCACAGCTCTTCATAACTTCTCCCCATCGTTGTTAAACAAATAAATGAGATGTTTGAGTTGACTCATCATGAGAGTTCTCTCAGCGTCCAGCAGAGGGCAGTCACACGCACCAGGTGCCTTATTTTACAGAGGGAGTGTGAGAATAGAGCATTGATGGAAAGTACATTTTAGCAGTTAAATACTTTTGTGACAGATTTGTAGTTAGGGAAAGTTAGGTATTTTTTTGGCCATATCGTGAAATAATTTATTACCAATAGCTTTTTTTACCATATGTCCCTATAGGTGTCTAGTAACATCTCCCAATTTATCCACAGCCAAATCCTCTGGGAATCGCCTTGAGAGCCAATCAAAGTTGGGGTGCCCAGAGGGCCTGGGTAAAAATAGTGAAAACATTTTTTCTACCAAAAGTGACTTTTGAGATGTCTAACTATGGTTTTTTAGGGGTGCTGAATCTATCCCAGCCATTAGTTTTGAGTCAAAATGACTCCTTAACCCTGAAATATTGATCTGTCAAATTTAACCTATGGATTTGGGGTGAAAAATGTATTCTACACATTGAATAATCCACTCTGAATTTAAAAGACACTACAGTAATGACATCTGCTAGGTACGTGCTCAGTATAATTACTTCTCTGCACGTGGAGAATATCAAGGTAGAGGTATTTTGCAGCTGCTTTTATTCAAAGCGTGCAGATTGAACCCAGGCCTCCCGTATACCAGTCGAAGACACTAACCACTGCTCCAACACGCCCACAACAAAGTTACTTTCTGACATGGTAAGTAAATAATTTTGCTTTCTAAAGTTTAGTTGGCTATACATTTGTTAAATGGTTGTGGTATAATTACAACTAGGTTACTGTGTCTCTGATAAATATTACCAAATAAATCGATTCATGATCTAAATATAATCGGATTACAATCGATTGAAAATTCGACCTACGATCGATCGTTGTAGTAAAATCCGACATTATGATTCTCCTATTTTTAACTCGTACCCG